AGGAAGAGAGAGAGAGAGAGAGAGAGGGTAGACGGCTTGGACCTTCTCTTTTCTTCCGGGGCATGTTGCCTCATTGTATTGAGTGGATGCATTGGAGGAGGAGGGGAACCTCTCCCCAAAAAAAAAACCTCTAACTTCATGCTATTGTGCAGAGAACGAGACTTTTTCTTGCCTCCCGCTGTGCAGCCCACGAGATTCAGTTTTCTTTCTTTTATTATTCTGATCCGGACGAAAAGGCGTCCACGGTGAGTTACGGGGCTTTGTAAGGGACTCGTTAGGGGGTGCCTTACCTCCTGCTGACCAAGGAGAAAGTCCTTCTGATTGCCAAGACAAGAGCCTTTGCTCTTTCCCCCGCGCTCTTTTGGATTGCTTCTCCCCGCCGCCCTGACCTTGCCCAAGCTGAGCTCTGGACTGTTGTTATCGTCCAAGAAAGTGGACATTTGCGTTCTTTTTTTGGTTGGGAGGGAAAATTGGAAAGAGGCAGAGAGTGTTTTATCGGCCATGCCGTCAAGATTTCCTTTCCCCTCTTTCTTTCGCCCCACTCCCTTTCTACTGCCTCATAGAATTGCATTTCCGAAGACTTGCCATGTCCGATATCCGGTGCCGGACACCTCGATAAGCCCGCCCTCGCCTGCCCATTTCCGTTGCCAGGAAATTGCGGAGAAAAATCGCTCCTGCAAGGTAGATAGATATGAAAACTCCCTTTAAGGGGAGTGCAGGATATATAGAGATGAGGGGAAGGGGAGGGGGGTTGTCATGTAGCCTTTTCTCCTTCGTATGAAATGAGTGGCAAGGGCCTTTTGCAGATCCCTGCGGCTCATCTAGTGTGGAAAAGCTTCCGGTCTTTTCAGGCTAGCAAGTCATGTTGAATGGGATTGCATCCTTGCTTCCTTCCTCGGCCAATTTTCCATCTTTGTGTTACTCACTCGACGACACAAAGCCATTATTTCCCCTGACTTCTCTCTTATACATCGACCTGGGTCCCCCCCTCCAAGAAATCTCCTCCCTTGCCCGAGATAACGACGAGAGTCTATATGATTTTCATTACCCTCCCATGTTTGAACCGTGATATGACACGGGGAGACGCCAATGTTTGCCCACCCAGGGCTTCTTCCCATCGAAATTCCTGATGGACATCTCGGGGACAGGGATTACGTCACGTGTATGTGTATGTTTTGGTGTTTGTCCGCTTCGTTATTGTCCACTTGGAGTCCTCATTTGCCGGAAGTGATTATCCATCAATGGTGTGTTTGTCTGCTCCCTCCTCAATGCCCCTCAATTGTATTGGTTGTGTGTGTAACCCTTTCCCTCTCTGGAGGGTACTCAGGGGAAGGGAGATTATGGTCTCCTTAATGAGTGGAGAGGGAGAAAAAGCAATTTGGTGTCCTGTCTCTCTTTCGGTGCCAGTGATGCCCAATCCATCTCTAGGCACTGGACTATCGTCCGGGAATCATTAGACGTAATAATCCGGGGGGCAGCAGCAGCATATTACATCTCGGGGGTTGTTTGCCCCGAAACTCGAGGAGCTCTGGGTCCCAGGCCTGGGATCACGTTGCAATCCCTTGGTGGCCCTCCTCCCCATGCACTTCCGATTATATTCCTCTCTCATCTACACAGAATGTTCAATCAGAGATGATCCACTTATGCACGAGCTCTGTGCTCCATATTTCCACGTATATATCTGTCCGGCTCTGGTAAAATCAAGAGAATATGAGGTAGAAGCCGAGCGGGCGTCAAAGAAGACGAATGGAGGCAATCTTTTGAGGGTCTAAACACACCCTTTCCAATATTCCCCTTGCTCCGTGCTCGTCATATTGATGAGTCGTCGAATGAAGGCGAAGCGACGCGCATCTGGTGTAGTTGTAACATATGGAGAGAGAGGAGCATTGCACCCCTCCCAAGTCATCATCAACACGAGATTGCAACTCCATCAAAAGTTGAAGGGTCAAACTCATAAACGCTGGCGTCATATTGAGACTCTCTTTTCTCTTCGCTTCGTTTCCGGAGAGAAGCCAATATTTTTTGGGAAGCTTCTGCCCCTCTCTCCTCTTGGGGCTGGACAGAAGGGGAGAGACGGAAGGCCTCTGCGCTGAATGTGCCGAGTGTGGGGGGCATGGCTGGGGATGAGGGGAACGGATATTTTGATTAATGCGCTCTGTGCCAAATTAGCCAGAAAACTCAGCCGGGCCTAATGGCCTTATTGATAATACAAGGAAAATGTTTCAAGAAGAAGAGATGGGGGATGGAGAGAGAGAGAAAGTGCTTAGTATCTCTTCTCTTCGAACCATGAATGGGGCTTCCACCATCCATTTCTCCCTCTCTTTATGCTGTCCTTCTCCATAATCCTAGGCATCATATCTCCCCAGCTTCGACCTCTTCTCCCGATCCGTGAACGAGAGGCTTTGCACTGTTACAACTGCCTGTCTTTGTATCGCTCGAGACGAGTTTTTTTTTGTACCGTGTCTTGTTGTGTGATTGATGCCGGGATCTCGAGGTCTCTCCGACCTCATGCGTGCTCCCATTGGCTACGATGAAGAGGTTCCTCAGTAAATGAGAAGCAATTCAGGTGTCTTGTCCCTCTTCTCTTCCCATCATGAGAAGAGTGCATGCAATGGGTCCCCAATTATGAGAGTGCAGGTGATTAATGACGTCACGGAGCGTTACCTGGGCGTTGCCATGGCAACCGCGGACCCCCGTTGATCCCGACACGGAGTTGTTGATTGGTGGATGCCTATGGGAGGGATGTCATCAATATGGGAACCGCCCCTTAATGGCACCAATTTCCCAAAACTTCTATTCATTCCTCGTCCTCATGCACGCATGAGCAATAGAAGTTGTTCAGGTGTGTTTCCACTCTAATTTAATGACCGACACTCTCAAGGCAATTATGGGACTCTCTACCGTGTCCGCCTTGCGAGATATTCTAACTTGGTGGTACACGTGAAGCTGAAGCCGATTGTTCTTTGGTTTTATAATGTAGAATGTGTACTCGGCGGGGCAGAGTACTGACTGGGGCTGAAAATGTGAGACCGAAGCCATAATTATGGGAATGCAAAGCTGGATGTGGTTGGTTGGTTCAGTAGCATCCTGTTATCGGAAAAGGACGGGACCATGGATTGGGCCTTCATCATGGGATAATTACGTTTTAAAAGCCCCGTGATCATCTCGGAGATCCCTATTATTGAGGAGGACCAGGTGCCTCCATACAACGCTGACTAATAGTCCTCGGTCACCGACCAACGGAAGTCCTCTCACTTAATGATATTGAATTGACCCGGCATTATAATGAAGACGATCGAAGGCGGAAAACTCCCTCGTGAAGGCGATGATGATGATGACGATGAAGAAGAAGAAGAAGATGATGATGGTGATGGTCCTTTGCCCTCTCTGTCAGGCCGGGATTACGGATGACGTTGGCAAAGGTCCCAAACCTATTCATGACACCTCGACGTCATTAACCCTGCGTCTCCGTTTTCATTCGTGAGGGTGTCTGTCCTCGCTTCTAGCCTTAATTTGCGAACACGCCACGAAAATTCAGGGGGGCCCCCTCTATAATTAGCCTCGCCTTCCCGTGTGAGAAAGAAGAAGGATGTGAAGAGTCATCTTCCGATACAATGGATCAGGTTGCGACGTGTAATTACCCTCTCCCGTTTCTCACACGCTCTGAACTCATGTCCATACGAAAGATGGAGCGGGAAAACGAATGTCGGCGCGGGGAAACCAGGGCTGGCTTCATGCAGGGAGGGATATACCTGGGATATATGGAGCGGCATCGATTTTGCAATTAACGTTTGATCCAGTGGATGGAGGGAGAGAAAGAGGAAAAAAGCATAGGAGGGAGGGTGCCATTAGCTGACGTTGCACAGAGACTCGTGTGGATAGGGGGAGGGAGATGAAGGGGAAGGGATATGTATATAGGATAATATGAAAAGAGCTCTGGGCCCCATGGAATGACCCGGTTCAACATGGGCGCATGAATGAGGCAAGGAATGAATGGCATTGTTTGATTGTATGGCTTTTGCCTCTCAAATGAGATTCAATCGGGAGACTGCTCTTTTTTGCCCTCTCGCTCGCCATCTCCCTCATTGGGACGCATTCCCCTTGAGTATGAGTCACCATGACCTGGGCGACGCCGACCATGCACGGGGTCTCATCCCTGATCTTGACAATAGTACCGTGATGAACTTACTGTGGGTTGAATGGCTCGGTGGTTGCACTGGAAGCTTATCAGTTTCGCGGGTACTTGAACTCGGACGGACAGAACATGTATGTTTGGAACAGAACAGAGGCTGTCAATTTGTAGACGGAACCGGCGTAATGACAGAGGGGAGAGAAGAGATGGAGCAGGGCGTAATGGCGAAGAGTTGATTCAGGCATCGCCGACACTAGATAAGCGGAATGGGGGGAAAAGGGAAGGAAGACTTGCCGCTGCCTCTTATCGTTCATACCCACTCTGGGCGAATTTTTTTTTTTAACCCCCTCCCACTTTAGGGAGTCTCGGTTCCAGCTGGAATGAAAATCCTGGGGTTGGTTTTTTCTTTTTTTCTCTCCTGCAAGAAAATGAAGCCAGGAACTTTTGGCTCTTGCTCGGTTGAGGTAAACGAAGCTCTTGGGGGAAACGCGAAAAAAAGTCACGCTTGGAATATACATGACGTCGGCTCCACTAGTTCCCTTCCCACTCCTGCAACTTTACACTCTTGTCAGAATCTGTTCTGCTGATGATCAAAAGATGTGATGACATGCGTCTAAGCCTTCAGGCTTGTTTTAAGTTTAAAGAGACAAAAAGAAGTACAGAAAAAAAAGTGACGCGTGTGGTGCTGGTGAACCTGCTGGGAAGCTTTTGTTGGCGTTGAAAAGAGAGCATGAAAGCATGAGTCAGGCGGATAACCTACTGTAGGAGCAGAACAGATGCTGGTGCTGATGCTGGTGCAAAAGCCTTTGTTTCGCCGGGAAACCGTGACTAACTCCTGGCTTTTTTTTTTCTTTCCCTCTCACTATAGGTTCATCAACGCTAGGAGAAGAATCGTCCAACCCATGATCGATCAATCCAACAGGGCAGGTGAGTCTCACCTCACTTTCTCTCCTCTTTTGTCTTCACTTTCTTCCCTCTCCTTTTCACTTCATCGATTCGGTATACCTTTGACTTTGACTTAATGGTTCGCGCTGCCATCAAATGTAATTTTTATTTTTATTTTAGCTTTGTGGAATTAATATGGATACCAGGAATACAAATGAATGGGTCAAACTTTTCTTTTTCTCAGCTACTAAATAAGGAAAAATTTTCCTCTATCTATCCAATGTCTTGCTATACCATCCTCATCGCCAGAATCCAATCCCGAGACGATTCTGGCTAGCGTAGCATTTTGCTCCATTGGGGATTCGAAGCATGGAAAGTAGGTCTATAGGGAAAAGGAAGGGAAGAAGGAAGGGAAGGAACAGGGAGGCATCCATCACTCCCGAGAAAATTGAAGTGAGTCCCTCGGATGCGGCCATGTTTCACTTCTAAGAGGTCTCGTTGGGATTTCCAGCCCGCAGACCAGCTATTACTGGATGAGGGAGAGACCCACCCTCTCTTTCCATATATACCCCTCAGATAAGAGACAGGAAAAAAGAGAGAGAGTAGGAAAAAAAAAAGGAATAATGCATCGCGACGGTGAGGGATGGTAGATAGAGACCGGGAGTGACACATGAAGAGATGGATCGGTCCCAGGGCTAGGTGATTATTGCATTGCTTCTGCCCCACCGCCAAAGATACATTGATTCCAAGTCATTAATTGAAAAAGGCCCATGTAGCCCAGGAATATGTCGGTTATTGTGGTTTTGGCAAGCCTAGGTACATGCCTCCATCTCAGTTAATCAAGCTTGTTGGTGAGAAAAGGAGAACGGAAGAGGGGGGATGGGGGGGAGAAGAGAGACAGAGAGGAAGCCAGACCCAGGCCTCGTGTATGTTGTGTTCTTTTTTGGGATGAGGAAGGCGAAGAACTACACAGGGAATTCCTGAAGGAGCAGCATCTGTCACGAGTGATAAATGAGTGGAGCTCGGGAAAGCCATCAGGTCTAAAGAGCCCTCGCATTCCCGCCTATTTACTCGCCTGTCAATGCAAAAACCTTCTGCCTCCCTTGATATAGAAATCCGAGAACCTCTCCACTCCTGGACTCGAAATGGAATTAGGAAATTTTTACGAAGGGAATGGATTACAAGAAAACTTAGATAGAGGGAGAGGGAGGGAGGAGCAGATAGGCGATAGTCCCAGAGAGAGCAAGAACCCATTTCAGGTGGCCGGGTGATTGAAATCGGGGAGTTGGAGGTGGATAGAAGGGAAGGGACGATAAAGAATGAAAGGACAGGGATGAAAGGAAGAGAGAAAAGAGAAAAAATGAGGCGATTGGCCATTTTCATTTGGAGCTCCGGAGAAATGGTAACGCTGTCACAGGGACGTGGATTGATGGACGAACGCCAGGCTTCGATATTGAGGAGGATTCCACTCAGGCCTCTCGCCTTCTTCCCTTCCTTTCTTCCCCATTCATTCTTTTGTCTTTCATTCCGAGAGAAAGGAATTCCATGCAAATTTTTTTGCGTGTTTTGTGAAGATGAATGCCTTCGGCTCTCTCATCTCGCATGTCTTCCTTAAATGCTGTACGGCAAGTTATGAGCATAATATCACATTGATTATGCTAGCATTAAATGTAAATGGTCAAAAAGTACCGGTAATTATGCAAGCATTAAGTGTCAGTAAACTGCAAAAAAATTGCCGGTAATTCTGGTTGCTCTAATGAAAGCCAATTTTTCAGAGCTTTCAAATTCTTTCAGTACTTGTCCCGCCTGAGAGGAAAAAAAATGATATTGATGATGTTCTTCCCTCTTTTTCTCCCCTTCGCTATGTGTGGGGAACCTTGCAGGTTTCCCGGCAGGTACGGGATGTGTGTATAGCCCGGATGGAGCAGGGATGGGTCACATGATGGACGGCCAAGGCGCGATGTTACGAGGCGCAGGTGAGAGTCCCTACTACAACGACTTCGCCCCTGCTACTCATCCTTACGGTTACGCATCCCCCTATCATCAGGGACACCTCATGTAACAGAGACAGACACACAACTGAGACCTGTGATCCTATATACCAGACAAGGCAGGTAGGCTAGGCCCTGGCTCGCTCGCTATACACCTCCCTATAGTCCCCTACTTATACCTTGGTTGTGTATTCCCTTAACCCTCAAGTCGTAGATACCCCTGACCTGTATCTCGTGTCAGCCGTGTACTGTAGATTTGGCCTGATCAAATGCGATCATGAAGTACTAGACAGCAAGCGAGGGTAACGATTGTTCCCCGACTAACCATAAAAGGCTCGGAGGAGGCTTGTCAGTGCCTAGTCTGCATGGCCCCATATTACATACTCGTGGCATGGTGCATGTCTCGTTCTCTGCATGCCATGAGGAAAAATGATTTGGACCCACCTTAAAAAAAATCCCCGGAGGTGGTCGAACTAGAGGTCTATGGAACCATAATCGTAAGGAATCAGTGAAGAGGAAAGATAGGCCCCCCCGTGGATATGATCACCCTACAGTCCAGGATGGTCTCACCATTTTCCATGCATATGAGGGGGGGAAGAGAAAAGGGGCGTGTTTGGTTTTCTCTTGCTCAGCTTTTGTCCTATCTCGTTTCTCGATCATATGTGAATCACGTCCAGCTTGAGAGACACACCGCAGAGGAGAAAAAGATGGTAAGCAGATATCCGGAGAACCGGTCCCTCTGCCTCTGTAGAGATACTGAGGTCCTTCCTCCCCATGTCCTAAGTCCACGCTAAACCTTTTTCCTGTCCCCGGGTCATTTTGTAAAGGGGAGGAAGAAGTGTCCGCACGTTTCCCGAGTCATGCAGTCTGTGCGAGGCCAGACTTGCCAGCGCCACCTGCAAGCCACTTATCTTCTTCCCAGTCCTCCAAAACAAGTCCCATTAACTAGTTCTCATACGAGGGTTCATAGTTTATGATTATGACTTGGGTGCTTCGCTTCACCTGGTGGTCCCCGGGAACTGCCTCGTTGGGTTGACATCTTCATGATGGGGCAGTTTTGTAACGTAGGGGGAAACAGGAAGCTGGGCATGTAATGTGGAGACCAACCCCAACGATCAAGGTGTCACTCGGAAATCATCATCCTGTCACTCTTTTTGCTCCTGTGCGCGACACAGCACTCTTGTTCCATATACTAATCATGCGAGTTCCCCATGGTTCCTGTAATCCCCTGTCAGCACAGGTCACGAATAAAAAAAAAACACAGACAACTCCTCATGCCATGCCAAAGGATAAAGCCCCTCTATGCACGGAACCCATCCTGGGCTTTACGCACATGCTATCTGTTCTTACTTGTAGCCACCCTAATTATTATAGCCCATAAACATCAGCTATTCCATGTCCCCTCCCCCCGATTGACTTCTTGGAAGTCTTACGCCAGGATGTCCACGTTATGCATATAATAAAAAAGGGGGGAAGAGAGCAGGGGAGATAGTGTATAATATATGAGCATGGAAAGAGGCTCCTCATGCAATATTCGAATGGTCATTGGAGTGTGTCCTTCCTGAAGAGATAGAGATGGTCCCTGGTGAAATGAAATGGGATGGATTCCGTTTTGCTTTCCACTTGCATGCTGGAATGAAGTGCCCCGGTGGGCCCTTCATGTCAAAACCCTACAAATTCGTTTCTCCCTCGCTCTTCCGTCTCCTTGATTGCTTCATAATTTATCCATGAAAACGCCCGCAAAAATTTTCTTCTTCCCTGCATGTGGTATTTTGGACCCACCAGCATGCTTGCGCTTTTTCGCCCATCTCCATCCTGCTTCTTTTTTTTTTTAATTAAACGAGAGTAGTGTTTTTTAAATGACTCTTTGACATTGATGTGATGTGAAGAAAAGTGATAGATCGTATTGCTGATGATTGTGTAGGTTTGGGCGGGTTTGGAGCAGATCCTCGGAGTATGGCCATGAGTGGTGCTTACAGTCCGCATCAGATGTCACCTATCCCGTACGGGATGATGATGGGTGCACCGGCTGGGTTCCCCGGGGCACCCACCTCCTACGAGGGTGCCATGAACATCCACGCCGCCTGAAAAACGAAAATCCCTTGATTTGGAATCCCCTGCTCCCTGCCGATTTCTGACGATTCTCATTCGGCTGAGGCCCTTCGGGTATTCAACCCCAGCCGCCCAATTGTGATATTTTCTTTCCCCTCTCTGTCTCTCTTTTTTGTGTCGTGTACGTGGAAGAGAAGAGTTTACAAGAAGAAGAAGAAGAAAGAGAGTATTCTCTATTATCCGTTTAGGTGCAACGAGACCACAAAAAAGGTAATGTATCCATGTTTTTCCCTCTCATGGTGACCTTTGTTTTCCTCGACGAGTACAAAGGCACACCCCACATCACTTGCTCATCCAATTCTCTCTTTCTGTCTGTCCTTCCCGCCAATCCATGCAGTATTGAGGAATCCAGTCATTGTTTTTTTTTAGTTGTTTTTGTTCTTGGTGGATTTCAAGTGTTGCTCACGAGGAGATCCGCATCGCGTCTTTCTTCGTTATTCACACAAATGGGTAACAGGAGAAAAAAAAAAAGTTTTTTTTTTCCAAGGACTCGAGGGATATTCGCACGTGCAATAATTTTTTTTCTCTTATTTCATTCCTCATACACATTGCTCTCTGCGTAATTATTTTTTCTCCGTGCGTTGCCTTTGCTCAGGTGTCGTGCATCGGTTCACATCGCTCAAACGGAAGCTTGCAATACTTGATTCTATGTCGTGGCATAATAACCCGCATAATGGAAGAGAAAAACTTGCCATCGCCAGGCAGTTTTTATGTTGTGCCAAATCACGCAGAGACCGTCTTGATTTTTTCTTCGAAGGCCAGAAAGCGACTTGTGTTCTGATGTTTCTCATTCTCAACGTGCTGGGCTTGAGAAGAAATTTCCGCTCGTCAGTTTCTTCTCTTTTCCTTCTTGTTTTCTCCTGCCTCAAATTTTGATTCGAGTCCCACTTGAAATGAAGAGCTTACGATCATATTCGATTTTTTTCCGTGAATGGCCTATTCGTATTAAATTATCATGGCGTTGTATAGCTGCTATTCGTGTGTCTATGGCTCCCTTGTACGGCGAACTGTGAACGTGTGTGTGTGATTGTATAGGGCCCTGTTTGTACATGTAGCAGCATAGAGCTGATGATGACGAACAAAAAATAAAACAAGATATGGCCATGGACCGTTTTCTAAGCTTGTCGCTTCATTTCCTCCCCTTCACACAAACACGAAATCCGCCGAGATGTATACATAAAGAGGAACAGAGTATGGACGGGATTACGGTCCATAAATGGGGATATTCAGGAGGGAATGGAGAAGAAAAAAAAAAAGTGAGTTGAGCCGGTTTTACGTGCGTTTTCCGAGGAAGGCATGGCTTGAATCCGAGATGAGCCCAGACGATTCTTCCGAACATACATGTGCATACCGTCAGACTCGATTTCATGCCAGCCCGTCTCCAAGGATTTGTCTCTTTTTTTTCTCTCTCTCTCTCGCCGTGCACGTGGAAGTGTGCCCACTGTTCCTTTCTACTCGACGAGAGAGGGGAAGTTCGTCGTGAGGAACAGAGGGGGGCCCATCGACATGGAATGGGTATCAAAATATCAAGGACGGAATCCTTGATGCATACACGTTGACCCGTCCTTGATCGCAACGGATTTCAAGGCCAAGCTTCCTCGAATTTCATGTACCTTCATATTATGTATTCATGTACCTTCATATTAAGCATTCATGCTGACTCCCCGTGTTTTTTTTTTCATTGAGGGTTATACATGATCCCGTCAGTCTGGCTCGTATTTCGTGATGGACGAAAGCTTCCCTGATCATCGCAGCGTTTTTTTCATCCCTATCAGATGAACCCACTTATTATCGCTCTGCAGGAATCGGCCTGTATTATTAATTACAGCGATTAACAAAAACATAACGAGGTAATTGGCCCGAGCCAAGTGCAACAGCCGAGCCGATGCCTGCAGACGGACGTAACGAGCAGTCGGCTGTCCACGGATCTGCAATTCTGCCGTACAATACCGATCCAAGTCTTCACAATACCATTCCGAGTCCTGTCTGTCGTCCTGTCCTTAATGACAATCGAAGGAAGGGGGAGACAAGACAAGACGGGATGAGATGGATAACGAGAGACGTTGATTCCTAAGCATTGTTCTCATCTCGTGGAATGGAATGGACAAAAGCTCCACGCAAAAAGAATGGGGGATAGTTCCTTCTGATGAATTCATTAGTGTCAGAGATGTCATCAACTGCCCTGTAATTAGAAGACCATCATAATGAAATACCTGTCATGGAAACATGGCTCGCATGGTCCTGTGAATTTTTTCCTTTCTCCTTTTTTCCCCATCCCTTATCGTACCTCCTCCCCCTCGTCCATCTTTTGTCCATTCTTTATCCTCGCAGGCCTTCATATGTCAAGGAGATTTTTATTTCCATGTTCCTCGAATAATGTCGGGGTGTCGGGGACGGCTGGGCGGGGCCCTGGCAGAGCCCACACGTTGCTGGATCGCTCCTGCCATCTATCGAAAATTCCCTCAACTAAGAGGGAGAATGGAATGGACGCCTCCTGCCCCTTCTCTCTTGGACAGACTTTCTTCATTCATTATCCGGCTCCGCGCTCCAATCTTTCTCATCTCCCAACATAGACAAATCTTCGATTTTTTTTTTCCTTCTCGGAGTATGGTCTTGAAATATATCTCTGCTCTTCCCGCCTCTAATTGTCGTTCCTGCGAAAGTATTACTTTTATACTGGAAACACCCGTGATTGCGCTGTGGTGCCATTATATTTGTAGTTATTTTATCTTGGAAAATGTAACGGCAAGGTAACGTTAGATTCGTAACTTCGACGTAGCTCCGGCAAATAATGGCGATAAACAGAAAGCGACCGTCACGCAAATCAAACCTACGATCCATGTCGCCCCGTTCTTGGGCAAATTCTTTGGGGACCGTTTGCAAAGGCAAGTTAAACAAAGAAGAAGCACACGAGATCGTTCCGAGTCATTTGACTGCTTGCACTTGTCGAAGAAATGCTTTAAGCAGATCGATGAGCTTGTTCCGTCGGTGTTCCACGATGCCACCGGCATTTGAACTTGCGAGAAGCGACGGAAATGCGTCATGCCCTGTCATGCTCCGTGTCACGCCCTCTGTCATGGCCTCTGTCATGCCCTCTGTCACGCCCTCTGTCACGCCTTCCTCTTAGCATAACCCAGCGAGCCAACAGACCCGGAGCGAATTCGCAGCACGTTCCAACTGGCCGGGTCGCGAACAGCCAACTGAAGCGTTATTTCGGAAACTCTCAAGCGAATAAAGTGAAGCTTAACATGCTTAACTTAAATCTAGCCAACCGAACGCCAGATGATTATCGAAACACGCAAACGGGTATTGAAGACGTGGAATTCCCTTTTACATGATGGTCACTCGGGAATGCGTTGGTCGGTAACCGCCAAACCCTTCACGCAGCTGAATCAGCCTCTTCGTCGATCCTTTAATTTCTAACAGGTAACCCGTAACGTGCACACGAGTAACATATACAGTATATATGAGCCAAGTCCGAGTGAAGCGTTCTTATTCCATGACGTCACTTGAGTTACAGCGAAGTGCAGGCGATTTCTTAAGCGTGTTTGCGCTGCGTGTCACGAACCATACAGTACTTTAAACAATTCCGTCCCTTGCGAACGTCAGAATTTTTCTTCGATTGTGTTGCCATGTGCAAGAATACATTTATTCGTTTTGAGGAGTATAAAAACTTCCAAATCAACCGTGCCAGTCTCCCCAAGAGATGAGAATCCCTGGATTCGGACTCAACAATCTTGTTACATGCTAGAGTTCGTTCTTTTCAACGGACATTTAGTATTTCCTTAAATTTAGCGGTCATCTGAGGCCTGTGCAAGCGGCAGTTTCATTCATTTTGTCATGCGTTCGTGCTCAGATTTACGGATGCTTCAATGTTTGCAGCCATGATGAGATCTTCGGCAGATTTCACCTTAGAAACACCTTTCTTCCCATTAAAAAGCTCAACAGAATAGGCAGCATTTTTTCTCGAACACTTATAATGAACTGGATTGGTCCGGGCGAGGGAGATTTTCTATTTCGTCGGGAAAATGGTCAGCATACGAAAATGGAAGAAAACCCAAGCTGGTTGAGGCCCCTAAAATAGTGAACTTGCCCCCCCCCCCCCCCCCCCCCCACCCCCCCTTCCCTTGGGTGCCGACAGAGTATAGCAGTCTCATTTCGAAAACATTTATTCGGTGCGGACAGCGCAAGTTAGATTTAAACAATGTTTCAGTAATAAGGTCCATTCCGTACGAAGGCCATAAGTTATACAAAACTGATTTCACAGACCATTATTGGAAATATCAAATATGTTACAAATTCAGGAAAAGATTCCTCCGCACGTTCCCATTCGCGTCAGAAAGTCACCGAGAATGCAAAAGCCGACGTGAAAAATTGTTGTCTGCGTTTCGATCGCTGCGGTCGCTCCGCGATGAGTCGAGGTGAAGCAACGGTTGCTGTCAGCGATATTAATTGCATCTTGTCCCATTTTCACCCCGTCAAATTTCCATATTTCCACACATGATCACACAGGATCAAACGGGATCCTTAAGGAGGAGGTTCCCGACCTCCCCGCCCCCTTCGATTGCGCCACCGCCGGTGCACCGCCTCGAATGACCCTCGAAATACGGCTGCATGCACGATGAGTCGGGGAGGAGAATCTTGCGAGCGAGAGGGGAGGTCGGAGTGGAGGCAAAGCGAAAGATCCGGCAATTTCCATATTTTAAACTTAAATTGTTTTATTTTTTTTTAAAGTCTTTTCAGATGAAGTATTTCCGGTTCAACACGTCTGAGTTGTAGTAAACATTCGGGGAGGCATTCCCGCCGACACACGACGGATTATCCGGCCAGCTTCGTCCCCTTTTCCACTCTTACTTATCGAGAGAACGAACTCCTGGTAGCTCCTTCGCCTCGAGGCTCTCTCTCCGAATTTAATCGCCCCGGCGATGAGATCTCGAAAGGATGAGGCCGACGCGAGGGCAGAAAGTGATTCGATTCAAGGCCGCTCCACGGCTTGTCACTAACTCCCGCCATTGTCTGCGCTCTCTGATTGCATCCAACGCAAGAATAGCAGAAACAAGCAAGAAGCGAGGACGAGGACAGCAAGACCCAGCAAAAAAAAAACAAAGTCGGTTCAGTAAGAAAAACAGGAATCGTGAAAGACGCACGAATCCTCTCACCGAGGAGAAATCGGGACATGGGCACCGAGGAGAAATCGGGACATGGGGCACCGAGGAGAAATCGGGACATGGGGCACCGATGAGGATGCGGGGGGAGGGGGACGGCCGCCCCCCTATGATTCTCATGAACATTTATCTTTCACTAGGTCAAAGCTGCAATAGAGATTTATGACAGGTGAGGAGGATTAGGAGTTTCCCCTTCATTGACCCCTTATACCCCACTTTTTTTAACTCGCTTAGCGGGGGGGGAGCCCCCCCCCCCCACCTCACCTCGCTCACCAGTCTCCAGGGAACCCCCCCCCTCCCCTCCTCCCCCCCCACAATGAATAATTTCTGAATCCGACGCAACCGGATGAGTCAAATCAGAGGGTGCGCTTGTGGGTGGGTCTACTTTCTTGATTAAATATAAAAAGTAGACGAGAGACTGCACATGCAATCGCTCGGATGTCTTGGCGCTGGCCTTCGTCAACGTTTCTGGGAACACTATTAAGGAATGCGCAACATTTCCTCAGCAGCTTACAATTTTTGCGAGCTTGACATCTACAGTCAACCCTCTATATAATGTCAGTGTCGGTCGTCACCGATTTGGGCGCTATAAAGCGCCTTCGTCGCAGTATGTTAGTTAGCTACGATAACGAAATCACCGAAGGACAAATTGCCTGAATGAATGCGAAGCTTATATTGCGCCTCAGTCACTCTACACTTGTCCTACGCAATATCCCTTCCACGGCTGAGTCACCTCTCACGGTGGCAACATATGTGTAGCTGTGTAAGTGGCTTACTGGCTAAGGGTTGCGGCACGTTTGCTACTCGGCCCCAGCATGAGGATACACGTAAGAAATAGCATGATTGTACAATCGATGGTATTGACGCATGGCGGTGGCACTATAACGGGGGTGAGTTTATTGACTCATGGAGAATATTTGTTCCCGAAAAAGAGCTGGCGATAAGCGAGGATGA